GCGCCCGGCCCAGAAAGGCTGTCTTAGACTTAGCAGTTGCAGAGGACCCTGTGGGTTACCAAGAACTGGCTCCACTTACTATTCTAGTCCTGCACTGGTGTGGCTCTGAGAAACCAGTTTCTCCTCAGAAGAATTGGCAAAATAAAGGCATTAGATCTCTACGCATGTATTAAGTGTGCTGTTTTATTTTCAAAAAAAATATTTTTCCTTGGTCTTAGCTTTCAAATTAAAAAAAAAAAAAGGTTTGTTATATTGCATTCCAAATGAAAACCTAAATGGAAGAAATGTTTCTTGGTAGACATTTCTAGGTAGAGTATCTTAAGATGGAGTATAAATAAGATGATGTAGCCTAATCTCTTCTAAGACTGGAGTTTAGTAGTTACTGCCATTCATTTCTCCATTCATCTATTCATTCATTTATTTTTTTATTCAACTAGTATTTATTGAGCACCTGATGTATGTGGCCACTGTATTCAGTAGTGAACCAAACAGACACAGGTCCTCCCTCTTAGAGATGATAGACTGTTTAAGAGAAGTTTTTAATTTTCTCCAAAAAGATGTAACAGTTAACGTAGAGATGAAAATGAAGAAAAAAGTAGCCCAGTTTGCAAACTGGTTTTGAGTATCTTGTTCCCTGCAGGTGCAGACGTCTAGTGAAGCCCGGGACAAGTCCTACCTGCTGCCTCCCCAGCCTGCCAAACAGTTCCTCATCTCCCCTCCAGCCTCGCCGCCGGTGGGGTGGAAGCAGAGTGACGATGCAGTGCCTGTTATAAACTATGACTTACTCTGTGCTGTGTCCAAATTGGGACCAGGTAACAAACTTCTATTTTTCCTGTTTTTTTCCCCAAGAAACACTTGTGTTGAAGACCATATTCAGCAGTGTGCATTGTGGCAGCACGATTAAGATAGAGGATAAAGTCACACAGCCCTGGGTTCAGATTCCAGCTTTGGCATTTGCTAGCTCTGTAATCTTGGGCAAGTTACTTAGCCTCAATTTTCTGAGCCTCGATTTTTTTCACCTCTACTTTATAGTAGAGATAATCATAATATCTACTGTTCAGTGTTGTTATAAGAATGAAATGATACATACATCATGCTCAATAAATGGTGACTGCATTTTTTATTCATGTACCCAACAACTTTTATTTTTTTATTTGTTTTAGAGACAAGGTCTCGCTTTTTCACCTGGGCTGGAACTCCTGGGCTTAAGCAATCCTCCTACCCCCTCTTCCCAAGTAGCAGGGTTTACAGTCATGTGCCATCATGCCCAGCTAATTTTTAAAATTTTTTTAGAGATGGGATCTCACCATGTTGTCCAGGCTGGTCTCGAACTCCTGGCCTCAAGCGATCCTCCAAAGTACTGGGATTACAGGAATGAGCCACTGCGCCCAGCTGACAACTACTTTGAATATATAATATTTCAAGGAATTGGTGATGATATATTAATATCATCCCTTCCACATTTTTCGCTTTACTTTTTTTTTCATTTCTTCTATCCCTTCTTTTTACTTTCTTTACCTCTCTTCCCTTTAAAATAATATAAGAAACTGATGCTGTGCTGGTTCAGCCTAGTTGTCCACCCAAGACAGTATTATGTCTCTTGTAGGGGACACAAGGCATTTTGAACAGAAAGTGGCTTAGCGGTGCTTTTAGACGTTAGAGCTGTATCTTGGATGTCCGAGGTCCTGTAATAAAGGGAGTGCCAGTGCTGCCTGGATCCTTAGAGGTGTCTCCCAAGGGAAAACTAAACCATTATGAAGTTAAGCAGATTCATTCATATTATTCATAAAACAGCAATGAACGTTTACATTTTAGCTCCAAGACCTCAGTACTGAAACTACAGAATTTTACAAGAGCCTTAAAGTATCCAATCTCTAACACCACCGCAAGATCAAATACTCTGACGTAGGATTTAAAGACTTAAAAAACAGTAACAGTTAAAATCCGAGTAGAACAAATTTCAAGAGACAAAACAGTTCTTTTTGCTGAAAGTGAGGCCGTGGTTCTTCTTTGGTTTGCCTCCCCAGGAGAGAAATATGAACTTCATGCAGGAACCGAGTCGACGCCTAGCGTGGTGGTTCATGTCTGTGAGAGTGAAACCGAAGAGGAAGAAGAAACAAAAAACCCCAAACAGAAAATTACCCAGACGAGGCGCCCTGCACCTCCAGTTGCAGCACAGAACGAGCCCCCGACCTTCGACTGTGTGCTGTGAGGCCCTGGGCTGTGGGGCAGGGCAGCTGCCCTCCTGGGCTTCAGCCGTGGGATCTGCAGCCCTGCTGCGGATGCATCGCGCCTCTGGCGGCAGGGGTGGGACTGGGAGTGCGTGAGCCTCAGGGGCCTTTCACCACCCCTGTCCTGCACACTTGGTGGTATAGAGTAGCAGCGCGTCGTACCTGTTCAAAATTATAAGTGATATTCTAAATGGCACTTTAAATTAAAGGATTAGCCCCTAAGAT